ATAGCTTTTCTTTCTATGCATCAGCGTCAGCAATGGCTCGATTGCAAGCGATAAACTCCGAGAAGACCATCCGCAAAATTGACATAGCCCAGGTAAGTGCCTTTTAGGAGGGTCCATGAACGCGCTTTTCACTCAGATTTCCTGTTCTTGTCTCTACTTCCAAGAGCTCTATAAACTGATTGGAATTGGTTTACTTCAGGTGTCTCTCAGCCTACAAGATCGTTTAGGCCTTGCCAAAGTCAAATATCAAAATGGTCGTATACCTGCCATAGAGTCAAACCAGAGCGGTGGTCGACAATTCTCCCTCGCCAATGACAAGCCCTCCGATTCCTCATCCGAGATATCACATAGCCGTTGCGAGACCCCTATGACTTCTCCTCCCTTACGCACTGCGACCTATTCGAAGGAACTTCCCCGTTCGTCACGGAACAGACATGCGGCGACCTTCAATTCTCGGGTGATGCAACCTATGTTGTCTGCTAGTCGAAAGCGAGTAAGGTCCGATTCAATACCGGATCGTCCCTCTAAGGCTCCACGGGTCTCGTGGAAAAATTCATACCACTTGCCTGCGTCGTCACCTGGGTTTCACCACCATGCTGCGCATCGGCACCAACCTCTGCCGTTCGTGGCTGAGACAATCCCGGAATTTTCGTCTCCGGCCTATCACCCTCACTCAGACGAAGAGAATGATCCAGATTTACCTGTGCATAGTTTCCAGCATGTTAGCTCGATGGTTGGCTCTTCCCCTCCTAGGACGCCACCTCCGAGGCACGCTCGTTTGGCACGCAAGGACCCAAATCTGCTTCACGAGGATGGCGCGGATCTGCTTTTGTATCTTGCAAACTCCCCAACACCAGCTAGTATTGCTGGTAAAACCCAGGCCCGCGATTTTCCACCCTCTACTCCGCCAAGTCAACATGCCCTTTTGCCCACATTGACCCCTACACCTGGGGGCGGTGGTGTCTTTCCCAATTTCGGCACTCCGAGTCAACAGTTTAATTTTGCGGACTTTGTGAATGTCACTCCCAGTCCTGCGCAACCAGGTCGAGGCGGACGGACCCCTGGAGGACCCATGAAGACTCCTCTGGCAAACAGAGACACCAGAAAACGCCCGAACTTTGACAATCTACTTCCACCGAGCGCGGAAAGCCCGAAAAATCGACCAAAAGAGTCGGGCCTTGCTCTTCAACTTGGCGGAGAGTTGCGACCGTAGACTTTTGTCGCAAGACTCTAACTGGCCGACAGGTCTTTTTTCGCTTTCTCTGTTCACAGATTCCTGTAACGACTATTAATGACCATACTATTATGTACATGACACGCCATATTCTGTCCTCGCTGTGATGCCCCAGTTCGTCTTTTGATTCATTCCCTTCTACACATTTATGTTTGACTTGGTCTGTCGTGACAGGCAGTGACAGGCTGTGACCGAACGATGACCACGACACTAAACTGTCCATACGTGCCATTTTTCCTATGTCAGAGTTATCTTGAATAGTCCTATTTTCAATCTCCTTTGTAAATACATCGCGAGCATGCTTATCCAAATCTCTCACACTGCTCTGTCTGATCTCTCTGATTATGCTAGTTGTTACCTTATCCAATCGGTGCCCGCAAGGTAGAAAAGTACTCGGAGACTCAGAGGCTCGATTTTTACAAGCGTCGTCTCACCCCATTTAGTGCTGTGATTAGACAAGGCAGAAATAGGCATTATAGGCACTTCATGACCGATAATATAGTTACTAAATTCATTCTACCAACCACCGGATTAAAATCCAATCAGAGCTATCAAGCACGTCTCGTAGCGTCAACAACCTGCGACTTGCAGCAATGCGGTGTCACATTCGAAGCTCCTCATCAGCCTTGCAGACAATAGAGTACCAAGCAGCCTGAAAGATGACGGACGGAATCATGAAGGAAGTCGGAAATCAAGGAAAAACAGACGCGACGCGTATTGAGTGGGGAAACACGCGTTCATTTCGCGTTTGCGCTAGAGCGAATATAGCTAGTACAGCGCCAAGTTCCTGGTTGGCGGGATGCTGGTCTAACGCTTTGAGGTAAAGTGCCATCTGGTGGATCGGTTGTGGTTGAGCTTCTGCCTTAGGCGTCGCCATACTGGCTACAATTACTGATGGCGCTCTGAAAATTCGATTTGCAATGCTTTATGGGAATATGTGCATAGAGCGAGATATCTTCAAGACTTATAATTTCGCCCTAGGCTACGTCGCAGATCCCCCACTACCCATAAATCTGTCCAAGTCCCAAGCCTGTTCTACTCTTCCTGCCAACCTAGTTGTTCTGTGCCTTTGTCGGGGTGCTGCTCCTCTTCTTTCTTCCGTTCGGCCTGCTTCCGCCACAGGAGAGCCAAATAGTCCGATGTTGTGGCTTCGTCTATTGATTTGTCTTCTCTTACTCTGAGAAACCGAGGAAAGCGGAGGCTCAGTCCCCGCTCGTCACTCACTAAACCGATGGCTGCCGTGTACGTCGGACTCAGGGTGATATCGGCGAACGCCATCTCCCAGACCTCCTGTGGTTCGAACCAGACGTCAGGTTCGCCGTAGTACTCGACATAGGCCGGCCGTGAGATGACGTTGGGCGTTCCCTCGACGTACTTGTCCTTGTTCGCCTGGTAGAACTTGTCCGTGAAGCCGGACATGCATTTTGTGACTGCTTCGAGGCTGCCCGTTTCCGGATTGCGGACGGCCATCAGAATGGGAGACCACCATTTGGCTTTTCGGCCTTGTCCGTGCCAGCCGGCAATGGGGATCAGGTCTAGGGTCTCGGACGAGGTACTGTAATCCTTCTTGACTTTGAGCCACGACTCGAGCCGCTTGTCTGGTTCATATGTTGATAAGAGTGCCTTTCGCCTGCCGCCTTTGCCCGCTTTTTCAAGCGGTTCCCCGCTCGTCACATCCATGCCGTTGCTAGTCGAGGCCTCCATATTCTGTTCAAGGTTCGCCTTGGGTACATTGTCAAGTACCTTGACCATGATCCCTTCACATTTATTCTCCAGGGCGCTTTTGAAGAACTCCAAGACCGTCTCGGAGTCTGCGGATGTGGCATCAAGACTTTTGACCCAAGTGAATCTGTTTGGGATCTCCACGAATAGGCTGCGCAACAACTCTCTGCGTTCGCGGAAAGGCCGATCCAATAGTGGCTCGCCGTTTAGATACATCAAGTCGAACGCGAAGAGGCAAACGTTGATGTTGATTGCTCCTATCTCCACATTCTTCTTTGCCCGATTTGTCAGTACTTGGAACGTCTGAAGTTCACCGGTGTTGTTGTCTACCGCGACAACCTCTCCTTCCAATATGAAGCTAGAGACGCCCTCTCCTCTGATTTGCGTCACCAAGGACACAAGATCTGGGTACTTCTCCGTCATATTTTCCAAATGGCGAGAAAATATCGATACTTTCCCCTTCTCGTCGCAGTGCACCTGTGCACGCTGCCCATCATATTTGTACTCGCAAGTAAAATTCCGTCCTTGCAGCTTTGTTAGCATTTCGGAGAGATCCCTCGTGATACTGCCCAACATGGGCCTCAGAGGCACATGAAGCTGCAGGCCGCACCGCAGAAGAAGTTCTTCGGTAGCTCCAATTTCAAGTAAACATGTAACTAAGTCGTTGTAGTTTGGATGCCTGGCATATGATGCCTTCACTATTTCTTCGGCTCGGTTGTAAATTTCGGCCAGTTCCTCCTTCTTTAGTCGCGCCAGATCTTGTCGTGAACGGATCGTAAACTCTGCGCCTTCAGGCTTTGAGTATAGAAAGGCTCGAGCCAGCGCGATAAGCATCGTTGTTTTGACAGCCCCGATCCGTAGATTTTGCACCAGCGTTCGTACAATATACCGACTCTCTTCCGCACCTCGAGTGTCTTGTAGGAGTTTCTCCACAATCCTTTGCTTGGACTCCTGACTACCACTGCCTTTGCTCATCGCAATCTTTCTCAGGGATTGATAGACACCTTTGATTGTCAGGGGTTTGGGCTTTATTAAGGTGAAGCTCTGTCTTTTCTTTGCCTCGAAAGCCACGTCGCCAGCATCCCCATACTTGTCGTAGAGACTTTTCAGCCCATAAGGATTAAGCCCATAGACCTTCTTCAGTGCTTTCGATATCGCTGAGCCTCCCAAGCCAAGTTCCAATTCGTCGTATGGCGGAGAGATCGAGTTGGTCGCCAGCCAGACTGCCGGTAAAACACTGGAAGCATCACCTTCAATCAGGACTCGAAGGAAATTGACCAGGGTATCAACAATCCTGATTCGACTAGTCGTTGCATTTGCCAACACAAACGCTCTAGTCAGCAGGGCATATGAGGCGTTTCCGCCCTCCGTAGCCCAGTGGGCCTGCAACTCTGCCGCGCATTTGGTCGAGTCGAACGTCAACGGACTCTGGTCAAAAGGGATGGAAAGGCTTATTGTGTCCTCTGTCCCAACGGAAGACTGCAACGAGATTGTATTTGTTTTCAAAACTTTGCTTGGCGGTTCCCGATCTGTCCCTGTCGAGGCGTAAGGCTCCTGAATAGGCCTATCATCCGGAACCTCAGGCTCCACGGCCGGCGAAGCACCCTCTTTGTCGAACTCCGCTTGAAGCTTGCGAGCAATCGCTTCGTCAGATAGTGTTTCTTCTGCTGCATTTTCAGTAGCAGAGTCAACAATCTGTTGCGTCTTCTCGGCTTTCTTGTTGGCTTGGCCCTGGAAGAATGACGCTATGCTCCGAACACGCTGTGGGGTTGATTCTGGAGCCTCTCTTTTGCGCTTTTTGGCCGGGCTGGGCATTTTAAGTCTTGGAGATCAAAATATTTGAGGAGTGGCAATTAGCAATGTCATCAGTTTTAGACTACATGATGTCTAAACTGATAAAGGGAGACGTTGAGTCATCGGAAGTTGAACAGATCGTAAGGCGGAGGAGTTGGCGTTGATGATCGATCGCAACACCTGGCGCTGGAATGGAATGACGATTTACGGACAACATCCCCACCCCCGAACTGCAACACGACTGCCAACCATGGCAAGCCCTTCCTTTTCCCTGTCGTCGCATGAAAGGACGAGAGTTGAGGATTACTTGAACGACAAGATTCAAATATCTGCCGACTTTGAGAGCCTTGATTCGTTGTTAGCCACTCTCCGTGCTCAGCATGAACTCCAACGGAAACAGGTAGAGCGCCCCTGGGATCGAGCATTACAGCTACCTAAGCGATTGACTTTTATTTCTTATTTAACCACCGCTGACCGGATAGCTTAGCTAGCAGAAGCCCAACAAGCACTGCTCAGTGCATCCAAAGCCTCCAACGACCATGCCGAAGCCACACGGAAGCGAGCCGAAGCCTTTAAGGAGGAGCAAGAGGATATCGATAAGCGATTGAAAGCCATAACAGGTTCCGACGCCAGCGATGAGGCAGCAAAGCGCTTTGAAGTGAGCATAGATAAGCTCCGACGACTGGAGATCTCAAAGGGTTATGTGACCCTCCTGAGGGAAGCAGAAGAATTGAGGTACTTGCGGACCTAAACAGCCGTTACCCTCCCGGCAGTGTCACTGATACTGGATCCTGAAACAGCAAGGAGGCCCTGAGCAACATACAATCTTCACCTCGCCTTGCTCTAGAACAGTATTCGCGCCTGAGAAGCATCGTACAATCGCTGAAGGATGCTCAACCCGCAGCCGAAGGAGCGGCCCCTCATCTTGTCGACTACCTGGAACAGCTGGCCTCTGGTCTGAGAAAACAGATGAAGGAGAATTTTTCCAAGAGGCTTCAGAAAACACTCGAACAAATGGGATGGCCTTCGAAGGACTTCCGTCTACCAGAAAATCTGAGGACACAGTGGATCGAGAATGTCGAATTGCTTCTTGATTTACAGACACCGTACGCAACTCTTGTCACATTTAGCTGCTGGATTTTCTGACACTTTACCGAACAGGGAACTCACAGGACGTGATATCGATGTGAAGCAGCAGAGTGCCGAACCACCGATCTTGTTACCCTTGGAAGTGATGGTACATCCGCTGGATCTTCGCTTCAAATACCACTTCAGTGGAGACAAGCCAACAAATAGACTTGACAAGGTATAGTACAACGTTGCCAGTGCCGGAAAAGTAACTGACTTTTCAAATAGCCAGAATACTTCCTGGGTCACGTCGTGGACTTGATCAACACTTTTGGAGGGTTTTTCGCTTCTTCGCTGCAACCTGTCTTCGACAAGAAGGCTCAAGAAGTCGGTTCAGCTCTAGAATGGAACTTTTACAACGCCTCTCATGCCTTTATCACAGCTCTTTTGCCGATGCTGAGGCAGAAATTATCGACTGTGCTTCCTAGCATTTCTGGACATTCACAGTTACTCAGCCATCTCGTACACGAGCTGATGAACTTTGACAACGAGATTCGGGAGACTTGGAATTATCTGCCTGATCCATACTCCAAGGATAATTGGAAGGGAATGACGTGGGAGGTTCTCACCAAGGAAGGATGGTTTGACCGCTGGCTTCAGGTTGAGAAGGACTTTGCACTGGCCCGCTATAAGGAAATCATCGATGCAACGGACAGCGGTGAGATTGACTACGAAGGAGTCGAGCTTTCGGCAACCAAACCCACCAAAGCAGCGATTCGCGTGAATGATTTGCTTGAAACGATCACTGAACTGTATCGGCCTCTGTCATCTTTCGGTCAAAAACTGCGGTTCCTTATCGACATTCAGATTACAATCTTCGACCAGTTTCACGAGCGCCTCCGTTCCGCGCTTGAAGCTTACCTTGCAATGACATCTACGATTGGCCGCACGGTACAAGGCGCAGATGGACAAGCCAGCGTGGAAGGTGTGGCTGGATTGGAGCGTCTCTGCAGGGTTTTTGGGAGCTCCGAGTACTTGGAGAAGAAGATGGAGGACTGGAGTAATGATGTGTTCTTCGTCGAACTGTGGTCTGAGCTACAAGAACGAGTCAGACAGAACAAGGACTCAGGTAGGAATGTGGCCGGTCCTATGTCTGTAGCAGACGTTGCTTCTCGTACCTCTCAGATGGTCGCAAATGGTCATCATAGCAGCGGCCAAGGTACAAGCTCGGATGGAGCTCTGTTCGACGAAACAGCATCCGCCTACCGTCGTCTCCGGCTGCGTTCTGAATCGATTCTCACTTCGACCTTGATCTCAAACACACAGTCGGCCCTCAAACCATATGTTCGCATGTCTGCGTGGGCAACTATTTCTACTACATCACCTTCCGAGGCAACCTCGTTACCACCGTCGGCGGATCTTGCGCCTGCCATGCGAACCTTATCCACTAGCATCTCTTTCCTATCGCGCGCACTGGGCATAGCACCGCTACGTCGAATCATTCGCCAGGTACTTCTCTCCGTTCAAACTAATCTTTGGAGTAACGTCCTCATGAGACATACGTTTTCCGCCGCCGGAGCGGCGCAATTCGCCAGCGATATTGACCACCTCTGCAATGTTGTTGATGTCGCTTTGGGACCGGCCGGCCTGGCAGGAGGCTCGACTAGAGTTTTTGCGAAGCTCAACGATGGTCTTCTACTGCTGGACCTGACGGTTGTTGCTCCCAAATCTGGCGACGTATCTGCGACCCAGGAGGGCGCTGATTCGCAGGAGGAACCCCATCTTGGACTTTGGGAGGTGGAGAAGAGGCTATTCCGGGATAACGAGAGTGCTCGAGGCGTTCTGGCTGAGTTGAATATCGAGACCCTTACAGAAGCTGAGGCAAGAGCTGTACTTGAGCGACGAGTCGAGATTGGTTCTTAGCATAGGCAGGCACTACATAGTAAACAAAACTAACGCAGTCGCTCGAGATCATCTTTGGGTGGTTCACGAATGAAGTATCATTCAATTCTATATACTATCCTTTCTCCAGCGGATCTATACATCGTGTGTCTATTTGTACATATGCAGTAGTCGTATACTATAATAGAATCATTATCGCGTCGAAGCCTGGTGGACAACAGGTCCGTGGCCCCGTTCTCCGGGCCTCCGTTTGGGAACCGAAGCAGCCTCAGCCTTAACTCTTTCAATGATGGTCGGGCCCACCTCCTCAATAGCACGAACAAGAGCTTCAACAGTCTCGCGAGTTGTCTGGACATTGACAACGCAGCGGAAAAACTTTCCATTCCCGGCAGCGTCCTCGTCCCCGCTAGGAGGTGCAAAGTCAACCATGAATCCCTTGTGCACCAGAGCATGGGTCACCTCTTCCGTGACCTTGCTGTTTGCCTTCGCGCGCTCGGTCTCGTTCGATACAACGCCGCGCGGGTGTACGAGCTGTCCGCCCGGCGCATAGTAGAAGCAAACCTGGAGACAAGGGGGAGGGTTCTCGCTGATGAGGATAAAGTTAGGGTTCTCGGAGACGAGAGTCGCCAGGTGTGCGGCAATGTCGGAGGCCGTGTCGATCTGCTGCTCGTATCCGTCTGTGCCGTAGTATGTCCAGCCCAAAAAGAGCTTGAGCGAGTCTGCGCGCCGTCCACATTGGAGCGTGAGATCAGCCAGGTCCCAGACCTCCGGGGAATCGACGGAGAGCTCGTTTTCCGCTGTGCTGAGGTCGCCGTTGGGTTGCGGTTCCGCGTCGTCGCTGTGGAACAGGTAGCCGGCTGGGAGAGTATTTGCCCTATGGAACTGGCGGATGTCTGCGGCTAGGAGGAAAGAACAAGTCACGGGGACACCGAGCATTTTGTGAGGGTTAATGGCGATGCTATTTGCTTTCTCAGCGCCAGCGAGTTTGTGCTTCTGGCGCTTGGAGAAGACGAACGAGCCGCCCCATGAGCCGTCAACGTGGAACCAGAGATTGTATTTCTGGCAGATGGCGGCGATCTCGTTGAAGGGGTCAAAAGAGCCCATTACTGTCGTCCCGGCGGTTGCATTGACATAGAACGGTGTCCTGTTCTCCTGGAGGGCTTTTCGGACAAGCTTCTCGAGTTCTTCCGGGATCATGCGACCTTGCTTGTCTACGGGCACTGCCCAGACGGAGCTGCTTCCCAAGCCCAGCATCTGTGCCGCCTTCTCGATGCTGTAGTGGCCGTGGTCGCTGGTGAAGAGCACAAACTTGTAGTCCCCATTGCCATTTTTCTTTGTATCCGGGTATAGGTTGTTGCGCGCAATGACAATCGAGGTGGTATTGGATGCTGAGCCACCTTGTACAGAAATTCCACCTGCTCGTGGTCCGTTGAGACCGAATAGTGAAGCCAACTTTTCTCCCGTATACTTTTCGATAATCGTCAAAGCCGGCGAGACTTGGTAAACATGCACGTTCGTGTTAAGAGCCGCCAAAATCAGCTCGGATGCCACACCGGGAGCATTCGTTGATGCATATAATTTGTCGAGAAATCCTTGATGCCATGTATTCACCGAATACTTCAACACTTTGCGGAGAACCTCAATCAAGCCATCTTGTCTGGTACCTTTCTCCGGTAGAGATAGTTGCAGAATATCCCGGAGCTCTTCCGGCTTTTTGTAGTCGACTAAAGCTGTCCGCGGCTTTTTCAAGTGTCCATTCGCACCATTCGCATGATTCGTTCGATTGATCCCATTTTGCTGGAGCGCAAGGCCGAGAGGATTTTCGTCGGCGGACTGGATGAACGGGATGAGGAGCTCTTCGACTGCGCTCAAAAGCTAGAGTCAGATTAGCAAGAGAACAAAGCGAAGCGCAGCGCAGCCAGCAAAGAAAATTGATGCGCAGTCGCCTAATGGACCGTTGAATGCGCCGGAGGAATGGAGGAACTCACTTTTCGCACTTCCTCGGCGCGACTCGACGGTGGGGACACAGACATCTATACAGAAATTTTATGATATTCCGAGCAAATCTAAGAAAAATACAGAAAAGCAGAAAATACAAGAAGCAATTCACGACTGCATGACCAATGGTGTATAATAAAGCGACAGTCGAAACCGCTCAGCACAAAGTTGAAGCCATCCCGCCATTTCCGGAACGGCTGGCGGATCCGCTGCGATGGCGACAGAGCCGGATTGTCTGACATCATGAATCGAGGGTTAATTTATATTCATCGGCTGAATAAGATTGTTTCAGATCATTGCCAGTGAGGATTATCTACTTCTTTGGAGGGAGATATACACTTTTGATGCATGAGGGGAAGAGAAAAATTTCCATGTAACCCCGCAGACGTTGGAGGGGCAGCATTGGAGAAACTCTTAGACAAAAGTCCTTCTACACCAGGATCTGTGCAGGGTATGGATATGGAAAAATGCTTTTATTATCATCATAAATCAAATGATCGCTGAAGACATAATATACACATGGGATAAAGAACCCTGTCAACTTCATGCTGTGTTACCATCACTGCTGGAACTAACCACAACCCTGTCGCTTCATTGGTATAAGTCATGTCTTTGCAGCTACCGGCGCCTTAGAACTCTCTTCCGCCGCCTTTGCTGCAAATTTAGCCCGGGCTAAGTCAATGCGAGACTTAGGTCGCTCGCCTTGGCCGTTTTCAATACTGTCCAGGCCTTTCGCCTTCGAAGCCCACTCTCCTCGCCGTCTCTTGTAGAGGTCCATGCACCAATTCCTCCATACAGCTCTGCCAACGAAAGAGTCCCGAAGAGTCAATTCTTCCTTGAGCAATTCCTGTGCCATTCTTTCTTTCACAAAGAACAGGTCTTTTGTTGCCGGCCATAACGCGTCCACAACGTGTGATCCACTGCTATCAAGCGCGAGTTCTACCAAATGACCTGAGAAGCGGGTAGTAAACTGGCGCCGGAATTGAGATGTCGAAGTTGGTGCAGTCAGGGCCTGCTGAAGAACACGGGAGGCCGCGGGATCCTTGGCTAATCTGAGAAGTGATTCTGAAGACTGTGCTAGCAGGCTGGAATAAATGAGCCCGCTCACAGGCCCGGAAGCTGTAAGCATCGTCTGAGCAAGGAGGGAGCCATGTAATTTCTCTGCGGCGGCTGTCTGATTGTTGCCCGATAGCTTCTGCTTCTCCTCTAAGTCTCCCTCACTTGCCGCGGGCTCAAGCTTGAGCATTTGTTCCAATCTTCGTGCCGGGTCTTTGTCGTAAGCGGATTCTAAGGCATCTGAAAGCGGCTTGGTGTCAACCCCGCGAACGAGGCATCGTTCGATCAACACTTTAGGGACAATCAAGCGGGATCTCTCAATGAGACCGGGGATTTCAGGGATGATTAGTTCCATAGCATCTTGTAGATCGTCCTTTCCTAGTCTCTCCAGCGTCCTGAGAACCACATATCCAGCCGTTGTATTGCGTGCAAGAGAGCCAATGCGGTCGCGAATAATGTTCTTGTAGAGTCCCTTGAATAGCTTTCCGGGCATAGACTTGATGATAGTCTCGAGCAAACGAGAACCGACGGGGTCATAGAGTAAGCCTCTGACGAATGTCGAGCTCTCAGCATTCTCCCCGAAATCATCATCCGGAATGAGCCTCCTGATGATTGAATTGGGATCCTTAGCGCTCGCCTTGCCAAAGTGCGACAGTTCAAGGAATACCAGCACCTGTAAGACGGGATTCCCTACAGGGTGGGTTGCCAGGGCTCTCAAGTAGGTGTTGTCCAGCCCGGAAACCATGTCACTCATAACCTTCTTCAGCGTAGCCTCGAAGACCTCTGGTACTTTACGCCTCTCCGCAATGGCCTTTTCCTCGGATGCGTCCATGTTCACGATTCCCAACCTTTCCTTCTTCCGGCTGGCGACAACCGAATCGGTGGATGACAGGTCGACTGGCTCTCCAGCGAGAACCAGTAACAAGACTCTGATCGTATGCGACGCAAACCGCTCTGTCAACAGATATCCCCAATTCCCCTCTAATTCCTCAACGACCTTCATGAACATTTCCGCCAGCGATAATTCCGATTCAGGCTCGTCCTCCTCGTCCGCTTCCGCCTGACGTCCTTTCGGCTTCGAAATCTTTTCTGTCACTCCAGGCGCTGCGTTGATAAACAGTGTCTCACAGCAATGGCTCGCAAACCGATGCTGCACAAGGTGCAAGAAATGGCCGATGAACTTGCTGAAGAGTCTCCGAATTTGGCGCATGTCGGACAGCGAAATCAATTTCTCCATAAGCCGCGAGCAAGACTGGCTGCAAGCAACTTTCAATTCTTTTCCATCCGCTTCCCTGTAGACACTGTCGACGAAGAGCCTTCGCTCTTCCGCATCGTGGAACTGGTTCAGCTCCAATACCTCGTTGGCTTTCGAAAAGTATTCCTGCTCTTCGCTGTCAAGGAGACCGTAGAAAGGCATGTCGTTCGCGGGCGCATCGTTCATTGAAACATCATTTCTACTATCCTCTGCCTCCAGGGGGATGTAATCCGCCCCTGAAGTGATCTGGTTGTTCGAGGTATCTGTCTCGGCGGAGGGCTTCAATCTTTTGACCGCGGATTCTTCAGGGCCTTCATCGCGCTTTCGTTTGGCTGCGTCTTTTTTGGCCTTGTCCTCCGCACGACGACCTCTTTTCTGCTTTTCTCGTGGCATAATGGACACAATGAGTCAACCCTTTTTTCGAACAGTATGCTGTATAATTCGTTTTGGTTTGACTTTTTTCCGCTCAGGAAATTTTACGATAAGGTGTTGGCCCGAGCGTCTCCAGCCGTATCGCGGAATTGTTTGTTCTGTTTGCATCCCTGAGTGACGTATCAAAGTCAACAGAAAATAATGATTGCATTACTTTTGATGGTCGCTAATGAACATGAACTTTTAATACAATCGCTGGAGAAGAGATGTGTCAGATCATGACAAATTATTATACAGCAGAGTAAATCGCAGAAATGTGCCTTCCACACTCAATCCGCTG